CACTGGAGGCCATGTACTTCCCAGCCCTACAACTCTGGGCTCTGCAGGGTTAGATGTCCTGGTCTTCAAAGGGGGCCCACTTTTGCCAAAAAGAGTTGCATTGAGTTATAAGCTACGTCTGCCTCCTGAGTGCTCTGAGCTCCTTGTACCCAGGGACCAGCAGTCAAGAAGTGGGTTCACTGTCGTGGCAGGGGTGTTTGACCCTGATTACAAATAGACGTAAGGCTGCTGTTACAAATGGGGACAAGGAGAAATACATGTGGATCCCGGGTGATCTACTTGCGTGCTTCTGGATACTCTCTGGCCCAACTGTAACTGTAAATGGCCAGGTGATGCAACCCTGGCCTACGAAGGGCATGGTGACCAGGGGCTCAGGCTCCTTGAAGATGAGGGTCTGGATCAGGCCACCACATGAGCCACTGAGGCCAGCAGAAGAGGGAATCTAGAATAGATAGAGGAGGAGGGAGATGATGAGTATTGATTACAGCCCCGACACCAACTGCAGTGGTGGGGGCTATAGTTCACCTCACTAACATTCCTCTTCCAAGTTTCCCTTCAGAAGGAGGGCCAGTGGACTCCTGAAGGAGCTGCTCCTTGAATGTATATGGGGAAGTGGATTTGAGCCCTCCAGGGGGGTTTGTGGTAGACATCAACTTTCAGTGAGGGGCTTGCTGCCCATCTGTGGCAAGTGCAGTCAGTAGATGGCCTGAAGCTGAGCCCCCCACACAAGGTCACACCCTTCCCAAGGCAGCCTGTATCTGGTGACTGGAGGAGGTGGTGTATAAAGGTCTGGCGGTTCCAGCCTAATGCAGGGCACGACTGACAATTCTCACTCCAGAGCTCCGTGCCAGGTTGGCAGAGCGAGGTTTTTCTAGGCCTGCATTGTAGTTCAGCTTCTTCTTCTGCCTGAGCCTTCCTTCATAAGAATTGTTTTCTAATAAACATCTTGTGCCCCAAATTCTGTCTCAGTGTCTGCTTTCAGAGAAGCCAGCCGTGACACCAGCAATGTGTTACTCTGGGGACAGACTCAGCCCCCAGGAACAATTCCGCCTCTTTCCAGCTTCCCTGCAGAGATCACAAGGCCATCTGAAGGGGGTTCTGAGCAGTTCCTCCAACACATCTTTCTAGTCTTTGAAATTTAGATGCTCTTTCCCACTGCCTCCCTTCAACATTTGCTCTACAAACAATATTAAGCACCCACTAATTCCAGAGCCTTGATAATTTGTAAATGCCTTCAGGAGAGAATGAGAATAAATCTTTGTGCCATGAAGGGCCTAGACCCTTAGTCGTCAGCTCCAACCCTAGTTAGAGAGGCCGTCCTTGCCAGCACTAGTGATCTAAGAGATTGGTCACCAGGAGATGGGAGGCCAGGCCAAGTGTTGTTTGGTGATGCACTGTGGGATCTGCAGTCAATTGCTTACCCCTTAGAGACTGCCCCTAGCAAGACTGAGATTAGCTGAGCTTGGCACTGTGAGGTACAGGCTGCAATGACAATTTTGTTTCCAAATTTTCCCAGTCTACCCTACAGCATCTACAGGAAGCAAGTCCATGGAATTGAGGGGATATAGAGACTGGGGAGTGGTCTACCCCAGAACTCTCAGAAAGCTCCTGATTGTGTTTGAGCAAGGTGTTCCAGGCTCACCCACCAGGGGGCAGTCTTCCCCTTCAAGAAGCCTTCCTGAGTCACCTTCACTTACCGGCTCTCTTTTCTGAGCTCCAGTAGCCCAAGGGTCCACACCACTGCCTGGCATCGCTGTGCACCCCCTGGACATCCTTAGTGCTGCTGTTCCACCTGGTGACCACTCCGATGGTTATTCACCTTCACACTTGGTGCTTTGTGTTACCAGTTTACCGGTAAGAGCAGTAATTCCTACGTTTATATTTTTCCCTGTAGTTTATGAGATGTCTTCACATATATTATTCTCAATTGGCTTGCAAAGCAACTTGGAAAAATAATTTATTTATGGCCTTTTCAGAAGAGGTAACAGGCTCACAGAGGTGAAGTGGCCCCACTTATTGAAGTCACACAGTAAGTTCTGCTGCTGCTGCTATCACGGACATCTATTAAGCACTGCTGTGTGCCAAGGATGATGTTAAGGGTTAATTTACTTAATTCTACAGTAATTAAGACAGTGAAGTGTTTTGCCAGTAGAGATAGACAAATAGATAATATATAGAGCTTATGAATTGTATGGTTCGAATCTCCCATGTCCCTACTGAATTTTTGTTTGTTTACTTGATCTATCAATTACTAGGAGAGGGGTGTTAAAACATCCCACAATGGTATGGCAGATTTGTCCATTTCTCTCTGTAGCATTTTGAAGCTACGTTGTTAGATGCATATCAATTTAGAAATGTTCTCTCTCTCTGAATTGAACTCTATCATTAGAGAGTGACACTCTTTATCTCTAGTGATGCTTTTTGCCTTAATATTGCTATTTCATCCTTGTTTGTTTTTTTGCCTGGTATTTCTTTTTCCAAACTTTGTCAGTCTGTGCTCTGATGTTTTAGATCTGTCTAGAACATTGATATTTAGAACATCAATGGATTTTGTTCTTTTATTCGGTCTTACATCCTTTATCTTCGAACTGGAGAATTTAGCTCATTTATTGAGATTGATATATTTGTATTTATTTCTCTCATCTTGTAATGTGCATTATATTTGTGGTACTTTGCCCCTCTCCTTTTTTAAAAACATTTTTGGGGTTGATCCCCTATCCCACCCCCAACTCTGTTCATTCGGAAGGTGTTTTTTAATGGTTACTTCAGCAATTCTACCCTAATGATTAGTCTGTCTACTGAGTTTTCAATTTCAATTAGCATATTTTTCCATTTTCAGAAATTGTATTTGGTTCTTTTTCAAATTTACCAGTTACATAGTATCAAGCGTCTCTTTTATTTCTTTAAAATATTAAAAAAGGTTATTTTACATTGTGTGGCTGGTAATTCCAATATCTTTGAAGGTCTGTTTCCACCATCTCTCAATTCTGCTTGTTTTCCCTCATAGTGCGTTGTTACCTTGTGTGTTTGGTTATTTTTACCATGAGCTGCTCATATTGCCTAGGAATTTGTAGGAATTATTTGAGGCCTGTGTCGATGTTGAGTTCCTTCAGAGACAATTTGCATTTATTGCTGTCAATAATCTGATGGTACTACCAATCCACACCACTTTAAATTAAATTCTCTGCTTGAGGATTTTAGGATGACATAGGTAATGTGATTTGACTTCAGCTTTCATGAAAGAGCTGGCTTGTAAGTTACAAGTTCTCAAAGGAGATTTTATGTTTTCCTCTTCCCAGGGCCAGAGTTGATAAAGGGAAATTTCATCTCTCCTCCCTTCTGACTGCCAGCGTGTATTTTACGTCAGCCCTTGCACGTAGTTATAACGCTTTGTGGTCTCCTATTAGAGTTCCCATCTTGGAGAGGCTCTGGGCTTTATCTCCTGCCTCCCATATATCCTATGCAGACATGAAAGGAGGATGTCGTGGTCCCCAGGGTTTGGCAGGCATCCTAAGGGTGAAAGACAATTCAGGCATTTACTTTCCTCTCCACCGTTGCTGGTTTCACTTCATTTGGGGGCTTGGCGTATTCCTTACTTTCATGGTAACAACATAGTAAAAAAGAATTTTAAAAAACCCTTTATACAACATTTTAATTTTTTTCATCAGGAAGTCACTTAGGTATCTAATTCACTACATTGTTGGAAAAATGTTAAAACATGGATTTCATCATCATAACTCACATTTATTTTTTTTATGACATTTTTATAGTCTTTTATACATTCTGTTATGAGTTTTATATAGCATGACTTGTGTATATTATTACTTATAATGATAATATGTCATTTAATTTTTACAACTAACCCAGAGGGGTAGATATTATTGTCCTCATTTTATAGATGAAGAAATATAAGCTCTGAGTTTTACCCAAAGTTAACCAACTATATGGCTGAACAGGGACTTAAGCCATTGGTATCCACCCTCCAGAGGTTCTTAACCTTTGGAGGACATGGACTCCCTTAAGAATCCAATGCAAGCTCTAGACCCTCTCCCCAGAAACGTGTACCCTGGTGCAGATACACTAAAATGTCAGAGGGTTTGAGATTCTCTGAGATCCATCCGTGGATCCTACATTAAGAACCCCTGCATGTTATAGTGCTGGGAGGTGGAACAAAAGACACATTAGTTTTTTAGCTTCGATCACAAGTTCATATTCCTCGGCCTGTCTTTGAAGACCCTTCATAATCTGATCTCACTATATTCCTCCAGCCTTTTTTTCCTGACATGCATTCCTGGCAATAGTCCATCTAGGCATTCCCATGATCTCTCCTCAATTCTAGCCTTGCCTCTGTGCAGTGTGGAGTAGTGATTAAGATCACGGGCCTCACGCCGGGACAGCCTGGGTTCAGATCCTGAACCAACTGTGGACCTTGGGCAGGTTATCTACCCTCTGTGTGCCTCTGTTTCTTTACCTGTGAAATGGTGAAGAACAGTACCTACCTTGCAGAGTTGTGGGGGATTACATGAGTCAATGCATGTAAAGCACTTAAAGCAGTGTCTGGTGCAGAGTAACTGCTTAACACATTTTAGTGGTTATTACTATTCTCTCATGTACAGTGTGTCATTATAGGTTCCTAGATCTCATCTATAAACTGGGAGAGGATTCTTGTAAATAAAAGAGTTTTTAAAAGTATCTAACATAGTGGCTAGCACACAGTAGGGCTAATTTTCTTGAGAGGCAATTTTTTTTTTTTCTATTTTAAGAGGGCAGTAGAGCTTTCTGCCCTGAAGGCCTGGGGCTTCACTTGTCTCAGTGGAGAGACAGGTGCTTTGCTTCCCAAGTCTCGAGGGCAATGGAATGGCTCAAAGTGTTGAAAGGCGGGAATGAGCAACCCTACCCAGCTCAACCATAGTGGTATTTCCTGAGACTGAAGGAATGGACAAGTGGCTGATTCAGTGAGAACTAGGCTCAAGCAGAGACCCCTGGCAGCACGACTTCTGATGGGATGGAATGTGAACAAGGTCCCGGTGTTTGAATGGGGCGTAAAGAGGACCCATGAACAGGAAATGCTGGACCATGTGGACTTGGTCAATAAGCATCTCACTGGACAGAGTGAAGACCAGAGGCCTTCTCTAAGTCTTATGGATGGTTCTGGAGAAGTTCCCTCTGATCTTGGGAAAGATTAAGGATAAAGGATAAAGAAACGTGATGTTTCTTTTTCTTTCCTTCCTTCCTTCCTTTCTTCCTTCCTTCCTTCCTTCCTTCCTTCCTTCCTTTTCTCTCTCTCTCTCTCCTCTCTCTCCTCTCTCTCCTCCCTCCCTCCCTTCCTTTCTTTCTTTCTTTCTTAAGAAGATTGGCCCTGAGCTAACATCTGTGCCAATCTTCCTCTATTTTGTATGTGGGACAAAGCCACAGAATGGCTTGATGAGCTATGTGTAGGTCCATACCAGGGATCCAGGCCTGCGAACCCGGGGCCTCCAAAGTGGAGCATGTGAACTTAACCACTACACCACCGGGCCAGCCCCAAATGTGATGTTTCTTATACCCTAGTGTCTTGGAGCAAATTTATAGTAACATATTGTGTGTTTTGTGCTTTCAAATGAGGGCAGGGGTATGTAACATTCCTTTGTAACTTTCACAATCTTTTCATTAGTAATCTTCCATAATGGGTAGAATCATTGAATTTTATTTGTTTTTTGTGAGGAAGATCAGCCCTGAGCTAACATCTATTGCCAGTCCTCCTCCTTTTTTTGCCCTTTTTCTCCCCAAAGCCCCAGTAGATAGCTGTATGTCGTAGTTGCACATCCTGCTAGTTGCTGTATGTGGGACGCGGCCTCAGCATGGCTGGACAAACACTCCGTCGGTGTGCACCCGGGATCCAAACCTGGGCTGCCAGTAGCAGAGCACGTGCACTTAACTGCTAAGCCACGGGACCGGCCCGAATCATTGAATTTTAGAGCTGGAAGGGCTCTTAGAAATTATACCTAGTTAGTGCTGACAGTGATTAATTATTATGAAGGCCAAAGACACTACTCTATTGAACCCTTTTGGTCCTATGTGCTTAAAATAAATCCTGAAGTGAAGAAGTTTCTTCTCTAAGGACTGGGCCTAGGCTGAAAGGTAGGCCTAGATCAACACATAATTTAACCCCAAAGAATACTTTCTTCTCCACAGCCCATTGTAGCCCACAGGCATTGACATTCCTTTGAGAAAGACTAGAAGAACCAAGGGTCCTCTCCCAGCCACTGGTATTGATATGATTAGAGCAGAGGGGTGAGGGCCCACCAGATCTCATTAGCTTCAGGAAATTCCGTCTGCTGAAGTGGAAAAGGCAGGGCCCAAGTCCAGCCTCTGGAGCAGGCAGGTTAGTGTGTGAGCCAGCTAGAGGACCAGAGACACGTGTAGTGGTGTTCTGACATGTAGACCTAGACAAGGATGGTTACCTCCCAGGAGACAGCCAGTCAACTCCAGCCTGCCTTGGGCTAATCTGTGACGTAGCTTTTCAATCCCTTTGGTGTCCATTCTTTTCCTTTCCATATCCACCCCATTTACCCTGAGCCCAGAGCTCTCATGCAATGGTTCCCTATGCGACTAGGATAGTGGTTCCTAGTCTTTTGGACCGCTTTAAGAATCTGCTAAAAGTTATGAACCATCTCCATGGAAAAATGCATATATATGTAAAATTTTGCTTACAATTCTAGCAGGTCCACTGACAATCCTGGATTCCTTTGTTGGATTCCAGCTTAAGAAGCCCTGCCCTAGACTAAAATACCTGATAGTGATTTACCTCTTCTTTCTCTTTCCCAGAAATACAGCTAAGTTCTAACATGAGGTAGGAGAAGTCTGAGGGTGACGATAGGGCCTTGAGTTTGGGTTGGGGTGTTGAAATGGGGTCTGTGCTGCTGGTTGGTAGGAGGTAAGCACATTTGAAAGATACTACACTATGACCTGTCTACCTATCCCTCAGTCTGACCAATTCTGTTTTGATGGCAATATTTTACCCTTTTGTCACATAAGTATCACTAATACTTAAAAAATATTAATGTGAGGGCCCTACGTGTTGAAATTCCTACTTAATTAATATGAGATGGACCCTTGGCATCAGTTTTTTAAAAATTTAAACAGCTTTATTCAAGTATAATTGATGTAAAATAAAATGCATAGATTTAAATATATAGTTTGGTGAACTTCTGATATAGTTATGAAATCCATGAACATACCCGTCATCCCCAAAAGTTTCCCCATGCTCCTTGTTAGTCCATCCTCCTACCACCTTCCCCACTCCCTCCCCAGGCAACCACTGATCTGCTTTCTCTCATATTTGTTCTAGATTTTAGTAACATAAAATGTAACCATATGGTATGTACTTTTTGGGGAGGGTGCTGGCTTCTTTTACAATATCATTAAAGATGCATTTATCAATAGTTTGTGCCTTTTTATTGCTAAATAGTTATAAGGAAGTTTAGACAAATTGCACAGTCTGAGGGAACACTCCCCGTAAGAATGCCCTCACTTCCGACACCACCTGCAACTTCAGAGATTCCCAGGGCCACCCTCACTTCAGAGGAGCTAGCTGCAAATTCGGGAGTTCCCATGACATGGCCACCTTCAGGTTCAATAATTTGCAAGAACAACACACAGAACACAGGGAAGTGCTATAATTATGATTACAGTTTTATTATAGCAAAAGGATACAAATTAGAACCAGACCTGCTAGAATTATAAGCAAAGGGAGAGACACTTGGGGCATAGTCTGGGAGAGGTCCAAAAGCGAAGCTTCTGTCATCCTCAAAGACACATTATCTTACCAATGTTGAAGTGTGACAACACTCAAAGAGTACTGCCAGCCAGGGACGATCACCTGAGCCTTTGGGCCCAGAGTTTGAATGGGAGCTCGATCACATCCTGCCTGCATGGCTGACCTTTAGTCTCCAGCCCCTCCCAGGTATTCTAGTTAATACCTTCAATCTCCAGTTCTTCTGCAGGTTGGAACTGATATGGTATGTTCCAAAGCCTGCATTGTAAATCACAGTGTTAAATCTACCATGTTGTTATTGGTCTCATTTAGGATTTTTTCTGCCTTATTTTATTTTTTTTTGTGAGGAAGATCAGCCCTGTGCTAACATCTGCCAATCCTCCTCTTTTTTTGCTGAGGAAGACCAGCCCTGGGCTAACATCCGTGCCCATCTTCCTCCACTTTATATGGGACGCCACCACAGCATGGCTTGCCAAGCGGTGCATCGGTGCGTGCCCAGGATCCAAACCGGTGAACCCTGGGCTGCTGCAGCATAGCGCGTGTACTTAACCGCTTGCACCACCAGGCCGGCCCCTCTGCCTTATTTTAGATTGAGTATTTTTTATGATTCCATTTTATCTTCTTTATTGGCTTATCACCTATATCTCTTTGTTCGTTTTGGCTTTGTTTTGGATTTGCTAGTTGCTTTAGGGTTTATAGTATGTACCTTTAACTTGTTACAGTCTCCTTCAAATAATATTAAACCACTTTACCTATAGTTTAAGACCATAGCGTAGTTCCTTTACCCCTCTCCTGGCTTTTGTGTTATTGTTGTCCTACATTTAGTGCTACATATATTATAAACTTCACAATACATTGTTATTATTTTTCCTCTTTTAAAGAAAAAAAGTATTTTATATTTTCACAGATATTTACCATTTCTTTTTTTTTTTAATAATTTATTTTTTTTCATCTAAAGCTCCAGTTGATAGTTGTATGTGACAGCTGCACATCTTTCTAGTTGCTGTATGTGGGACGCAGCCTCAGCATGGCCAGAGAAGCGGTGTGTCGGTGCGCGCCTGGGATCCAAACCCGGGCCGCCAGTAGTGGAGCGCACGCACTTAACTGCTAAGCCACGGGCCGGCCCAGATATTTACCATTTCTGATGCTCTTCATTCCTTTGTATAGACTCGGATCCATTTGCTGTCATTTTCCTTCTCCCTGAAGAGTTGCTTTTAACTCTACAACTATGATACACAACTATGTACTGGGGCTTTGGGGAGAAAAAAGAAAAAGAGGAAGATTGGCAAGAGATGTTAGTGCAGGGCCAATCTTCCTCAAAAAAAAATCTGTTTTGCAATAAATTTAAAAAAAAAAGAATGCTTTTAACATTCTTGTAGTGCTGGTCTGCTAGTGATGAATTCTTCCAGCTTTTGTACTTACAAAAAAGTCTTTATTTCATCTTCATTTTTTTTTTGGGGGGGGGGGAAGATCGGCCCTGAGCAAACATCCATGCCAATCCTCCTCGTTTTGCTGAGGAAGACTGGCCCTGGGCTAACATCTGTGCCCATCTTCCTCCACTTTATGTGGGACACCGCCACAGCATGGCCTGACAAGCAGTGCATTGGTGTGCACCCAGGATCTGAGCCCAGGCCGCCAGCAGTGGAGCATGCGCACTTAACCGCTACACCACCTGGCTGGCCCTCATCTTCATTTTTGAAAGATATTTTTTCTGAGTGTAAAATTCTAGATTGACTATTTTTTCTCTAAGTATTTAAAAGATGTTGTTCCCTTGTCTTCTCGCCTGCATTATTTCCAACAAATCTGATGTCCTTTTAAATCTTTTTTCTTCTGTATGCATGTGTCTTTTTCATCTGGCTCCATTTAAGTTTTTCTTTTATCATTGATTTGAAGTAATTGATATACCTTGGTATCGTTTTCTTGTTCTTGGGCTTGTTGAGCTTCATGAGTTTGTAATTTTCATCAAATTTGGGAAAAAATTTGACCATTATTGCTTCAAATATAACTCTATTCTCTCCTGGGACTCCAATTATACATAGGCCACTGACATCTCACAGGTTACTAATGCTGTGTTCATTTTTTTCTCGTTTTTTCTCTCTTTGTTTCATTTTGTGTAGCTTCTATTGATATGTCTTCAAGGTCCCCAATCTTTTCTTCTGTATTATCTTAATTTCTGAGTATTTTTCATCTCAGTATTACATTTTTCATCTCTCAAAGTTCATTTTGGAGGGTCTTTAGGGTTTATAGTTGTTATTGTTGTCCTATGTTTAGGACAACGCATCTTCTCTCCTTACCATGCTTGTGTTTTCCTCTACCTTCAAATATACATATCAAGTGTATTTAACACCCTTGTATACTATTCTATCATCTGTGTAATTTCTGAGGTCTGCTTCTGTTGATTTTTCTCTTTGTCATGGGTTGTATTTTTCTGCTTCTTTGCATGCCTAATACTTCTTAATTGGATGGCAGACATTATGAATTTTACATTATTGAGGAATTTTTTGTACTACTTTAAATAATTTTGAGCTTTGTTCTGGCACAAGTTCCTTAGGAAAAAAACTAATCCTTTCAAGACTTAGTTTTAAGCTTTGTTAGGCAAGTCCAGAATAACCTTTAGTCTAGGACTAATTTGGCCTCCCTACTGATGTGTGTACTTCTGTGACATATTAGGAAGTCTTTCTGTGACCCGGAACTAGGCAAGGAAAGGGTTACTGAGAATCTGATCAAAATAACATAGACTGTCAAATGTTTTCCAGATAAGGAAAGTTTCTCCTGAAACTAAATGTTCTGTTTTTCAGAAGCCAATGTCCCCATTTTTGCAGATGTTACCATCTTACAGTGAAACTTACACTGTTGCAGCAAGGCCCCTGCAAATTGCTCCAGCTCCAAGCGTCCAAAAGTTACCATGGGCCTATTATGTAATGGCATGTACCTTGAACTTGTGATGTAATAGCCTGCTTACCTGCTGCACATGCGTCCTGACTGAGCAGTTATTACACAGTTGTATCATATCCTCTGCACTCTTGTGTATAAAGTCTCCACTGGCTCTAAGCCTGGGGGGAGCACTGCTTTGGGAGCTATCCCCAGGGTTCTCCATTGCTTGTGCAAGCAATAAATCTTCACCTACTTCGGCTTTGGTTGTACTTGTCGGCTCCACACTCACCAAGAGATGAACCCAATGAGTTCGGTTCCATTTCCATTTTGGTTGGTGGCAATATTGATTATTCTTGGCCCTGTATGAGCTCTGAGGGTTGTTCTGCCTGATCCTTTTGGATGGTCTTTCCTGCCCTCATGTAGTTTCTTCTCAAGCACGTACTGCTCAGCCAATGTCTTTTTTTTTTTTTCAATTATTATTATTTTGGTATGTGTGTGTGAGGAAGATCAGTCCTGAGCTAACATCCATGCTAATCCTCCTCTTTTTGCTGAGGAAGACCGGCCCTGAGCTAACATCTGTTGCCAATCCTCCTCCTTTTTTCTTCCCTTTTTCTCCCCAAAGCCCCAGTAGATAGTGGTATGTCATAGTTGCACATCCTTCTAGTTTCAGCCCATGTCGTGAAGAAAACTCTCTGAAAATGTCTGGAGCTCTTTCTTTGTTTAGCTCTCTCTCTCTTTCTGATATTCTGCCCCATGAATTCTAAGTGGTTTGGCCTCCCTGAACTCTGAATTCTGTCTCTCAATTCAGAAAGATTGCTGGTCTCTCTTTAGGTTCCCCTTCCCTGTCTGGCAGCCTAAAGATTCTCTCCTGGAAGTAAGCTGGGGCCATCATAGGGCTCACTCATTTGATTCTCTTTTCCCGGGAATCACTGTCCTACACTGCTAGTCGCCCAATGTCTGGAATTTTAGTTAAGGCAGGATGGGAAATCTAGGCCCTGTTATGGTCGTTACAGCCAGAAACAGAAGTCATCAGTTTTGTTTTTTTTTAATCTCCCCAGGTTAAAATTCTAATGTGCAGCCAGCGTTGAGAACCACTGCAATCTAACTCCACTCTCGTTATCCAAGTTTTAGCCATTGCTGCCAGATTCTTCTCCCTCCCTCTTGCAGCTCTGCTTCTACTGTCATCTCTCAAGTCACACTGGTTAACTAACTCTCTTGGCCTTGTATCTGAAGCTAGGAGAAATGGCATGTCGTTCTAGTATCTGGCACTTATTAGTCCTCCAAATTTCCAGGCATGGTACTCTATGTCAGAGAGATAGCAGACATTCTGAATTACTGTTAATCATGTTATCAGCAAACAGGAAGAGGAAAGAAAACTGGGCTAAGGAGATGATTAGTTAAGAACTATACCTGTGGAGGGCTACAGGGCAAAGAGGCAGGGAGGACATCATAGTAATAGAATATAAGATATTTTTCAAATAATTGTGGAAAAATATATGCTAAAATAAAAAACAAACAAAGCTGCTATCTATCAGGGGTGTAAATTAGCAGTAAAGGCAGCTCAGAGTCATTCCCTATGAGCCCTCCAAAGAGAAGGGGAAGCAATCATTTGTTGAGTGTGCCATGCATTTCTACATGCTTCCTCTCACCTCATCTTCACAGTGCTCAGAGTCAGGTATTATCTCTGTTTTATACATGTGGGAAACTATGGATTTGAGTGGTTAGGGAACTCATAAAAGTCACACAGCTAGTAACAAAGTGTCTGATTTCAAAGTCTGTGTCCTTTCCCTCTCTGCTTCTGACAACAGCTGTCATGAGAGACTCCAGCCCCAATCCACTTTTTTTTTAAATAAAATTTTTACTGAAGTATAAATACCTAGAGAAAAGTGTAAAAAGTGTAAGTCCAGCTGGATGAATTTTCACAAAGTAAATACACCCATCTAACTAGCACCCAGATCAAGAAACAAAACAAGTACCCTAGAATTCTCCTCTTGTATGGCCTACTTTTGACTTAGGAGCTTTAGCACAGAGGTACTCAATGGAGCCTATGGCTCAGGGTCCCTTAACTGGGGGTCCATGTTGCTTCCATAAATCCCCTGAAATTAAAGGAAAACATTTTCCTGAGAAGAGGATGTAGTGCCTTCATCAGATTCTCCTAAAGGAGAGAAGAATCAAAGTTATAACTGAAGACTGGGTCACTGAGAATCCATTCATTCATTCAACATATCAGCCAAATCAGAATAAAATAACAATGGCTACTATTTGAGAACTTAATGTGCCAGGCATTATGCCAGGCACTTTGTGTGTATTATCTCTGACCCTTACAAAAACCCCAAAATGTAAATATCATCATCTCCATTTTACAGATATGGGAACTGAGGCTCAGAATGAAGTGACTTGCTTAATGCCACACATAATTATGTAGATATCTGCAAAAGCTAGTATTCAATATGAGATCTGCTACACCAAAGCCTGTGCTTCTAGCGCTAGGCCACGATACCTTCAGTAATATCAAGTTGCCTAACTTCTGCTCAGAACAAGCTAAGCTTGAAATACCAGGGCTGAAGAGGAAATGAAAGAGTGAATCAAAAGCCCAGGCATCTTTTTTTTTTTGCAATTCCCTGCTAACCAATAAAAAATCATTGCAAAAGGGAAAGTACTGCCTTTAAAAGACACACTTTGCCCTCAAGAGGTGTGGCCGGTAGGTTTTCTCAAGTAGGAGTTATTATCTAACCACAAACCAACTGTCTGTCATTACACTGCACTTTAGAGGACGCCTATGATTGGCCAACCAAGAGAGCAATATTTGAATTTAAAGAAAAGACCAAAACAACCAAGGCTCATTACTTCAGTGAGAAAGATAAAGCTTTGTTGTTAGAGAAAACTCCAACTGGTGTCAGAGATTAGGCACTAAAACCCTGTGCTAGGGTAAAACCATTACCTCGCTAACTGGTGTTACTACTATTAATCTCCTCATCAAGAAATCAGCCCCTATTTTAAGTAAAACCCACTGAAAAGATATGTAAAAACCATGTGAAAGCGCTTTGTAAACTGCAAAGGATTATGAAAAGGCTAGTAAGTACAAATATTTATAGTTTTAAGATTCAATTTTCTTAAAAAATTAATCTCTAAATAGAAAGCAAAATTTGCCTGTTTACAAAGGCTATACCAGGAGAAGGTGGCTGAGTCAGAAGCAGCACAATTCCTGGTGGCTAGAGCACATGTAGAGTTAATGTTTTCTATCGCCCATTTTTCCGTCTGCTGTTCCATTGGACCACTAAGTGTATTGTATCCTCAGTACTTTGTTTACTCTGAAGAAGGCATACATAATAAAACCTACAAAAGAAAAGAAAAAAGTGGGCCAGATGACTTTATAGAAAACAAACCATGGTCTCAAAGTTACAGATTAAAAAATTGCATCCTCTTGTTGCATTTATCATACTTCATTCTGAGTCTGGGATGCATCCTCAGCTTAATGAGATAGAAAGATAAATGAACAAGTCATTTTTTTTCAGGCAATACAAGTTCCTCTTACAAATACAGCAAGATAGTAAGCATTAAAATTTTAGAAAACTCGAAATGCTGAAACTCCTATAATTCAATCATCTTTTCCTCAGCAATAGCTTCTATTATAGAAACAAAGTTTCATTTATTAGATAAGGCTGAAAATGACAATGCTTCAAGTTTTATACCCTCTATTTTATGTTCATGAAGTAAAGCACTACAGAACTACTCAAGAGAGCCACCAATGCAGCAATGTAGAATTTTCAGGGTTTTTTTGTTGAAACTCACTTTATTAAAAAAAAACAAAAAACAAACAAAAAAAACAGTCATGAACAATAAATTACAATCATTTCCCCCCTTTTATAAATTCTTCATAAAATATATTTGACAATTTTAAAAGAAAATTTCAAAAGTTGCTTTCATTTTTGAAGTGCTGATGACTTATTTTTTGACCATTTTGTCATGCTGGTGAATTATTTTGTAGCTGCTACAATAGTGTGATTGATAAACATTTTACAATTAAAAACAACAACAACAAAGAGGAAAAAACAGACCAGCAGAAAGAACTATTCAGTGTGCTATTTATCTGACACTTAACACTTACTTCATCATAATGACAAAGTATCCCTTAGCACCAAAAATCTACAGGAACCCCATCTTTCTAAGTGACATCTAGTGCAAAATAACATTCTAGAACTATCTGTACAACCCCATATTTTAACTGGCGACAGCTGCCTATAAGCTTATTTGAAATATTTGGTCTTTTTTCAATTAAGACAAATTTCATAAAACACTATGAAACCATGGCAAGAGACTCTATGAGGAATAATTGTTTATTGAGTACCTACTATGGGCAAGGCACTGTGCACAAATTCTTGCTTTCATGTTTCCTCTGGCAAATATCCAGGAATTTCCAAGTATCACTAATCCTCTTTTATTTCTTACTCCTGACTGGAAAAGACCTATGGCTATACACCATTTTTAAACTGTCATTTTATCAACTGACCTTTAGTGCTGAGCACACAGTAGGTACTTAATAAATACCTCCTGACTGAAAGAATAAAGACAGACAATTTACTATCATTTTGCTTGGTATCATAGGCTATTTTAGAATACAAGGACTTGAGAAAATTCCAGAAGAAACTTCCTCATCACCTCACACCCTTGCTGTCAATGAAAGAATTCCACTTCACATGTAAAATCTTTCAAAATAAATGATAATCGTTAACTATTTTTAAATGAGGCAGGACCAAAAACTACGTGCTTAGGAAACCATGGCTCCAAGCACACAGATATTTGAAGAGCAAATGAAGCACTGGCATACCATCACCTGAGTCATCATGAGTCTCTGCTGAAGTGCCATGTTATTGACACTTCAATGTTATAATGATGCTTTTTACTTCCAGTAAATCAATCCCTTTGGCCAGAAGTGTGTTACACTAATTTGGTGATCACGAGGTTCCAGTGCATTTCCACCTCTAATTTCCGAAAGAATTCTTACATTTATTAGCTTGAAAGTGGTGTTAAAAGTATATGATTTTTTTTTTATTTTAAAAGGCTTTATTTCAATAACATCTTTTGGTCCAAATTTTAAACTTCCAGACCAAGTAATGCATAGTCCAGAAATTTTACGTACTCCAATTTTTTGTGCTTTTTCACCTTCTGTAGTCTGCTGAACACATTTTAAATAAGGAAAAAATTATGATAGCAATATTCCAAAAGTTGTGGAAGTTCAAAAAAGCTGAGACTACACAAACTATCAATGATCTCAATATTCTAATACTTTTTTTTTTTTTACTTTTGACCAAAGATTCTAGTGCTTTATAAAGATTAACCTAGATACAATGGTCTTAAAAGTCTATCTAACCTTAAAGGCTAATGTTCTGTTTTAGGAAAATTTCCTTTCCTTAGATTTTAACTATCTGGATTTACAGGAAAACAAGTTGGAGACAACCATATAAGGCTAAAATCAAATCGACTTCAAGAATAATAATGGTCTACTGGTTTTTGACACAGACCATACCAAGTGACTATATAAAATTCATAACTTTTCTACTTCAAAGATAGAGTTGACGCCACAATATTTTATCCATTTGCCAAACTGTATAGGTATCATCTCCCACTTTAGAAAAAGGTGATCGACATTTAATACTACAACCATATCACTACCATTACTGTGTCAAATCAAACAAGAGAAAAGAGCATTAGTGCCCAAATGAAAGGAATCCCAGGAATTAAACAAGAGACCGTATCAGGGCAGGCAATGTGAGGGTAGAGCTCACTTTGTTTCTTCAACTTCATGAAGCTTAGACAAAGTCTTAAAATCAAAAATTAATATATCAAGTGCTATAGTTACATATAGCAAAGTTTTCAGAAACAGAAGAATCTTGTATGCAGATTTATATCAGATTGCAGATGCTCAAGTGCAGACATGTCCCAATGCAGTGGTTTAATTGGTTAACTGAATACTTGGTTACCTAAAGAAGGTATGACTGAATCATCAGTGTCCTTGCCAACCTGCTACCGCATGACTGCATGGCCAATCCAACTCCTCCAGCTACAGGCCACTGGAGAGCTCACACATACTTCAGCAGCTTTGGATCACTTAATTTCATTTATGTTTAATCAGATAATTTTAGACCCTCCAAAATGATGCCTTAAAAAAAAAAGTTGTATAATATTACAAAAATAAAAAACTTAGGATGATTTCATTAGAGGGAGGGACAGGGTAGGAAGACGAGGGAAGGTTCTTTTATTTTTCATCACTGATTTCACCAGCAAATCTCAAAAACCCAAACCTACATTAAATAATTTAAACAGAAGTGGCATTTTCTTCATATGGAATGCAAAATGCACACATTCACATACTTACATATACATAAATATATACATATATGTTTCCTTTACAAAGCTTCAAAGCTTGCATTACCAGCATGCAAACCTCTCTTCCATGGAAATTCCTAATACTGACAAGGAATGTCTAAAATACTTAGAGACATATTTTCAGAAAACTGGACTCCCTTCTTTTCTTGGCTCTTAGAGAATTTTCCTGCCAAACTTCTACCAATGATCATTTAAAAAAAATTTACACCCACATTGGTAATACACATTTAAAACATATTAACAAAATGGCCAGCTTGGACTTAAGAGGAAAAAAAACACCCCACAATAAAATCTAAACCCTTAGAAGGTGGAGTTTAGCTTTTTATATTCTTTTCAGCCACATTATGTTGCAGCACTGTTATAACAGAAGCAGCATATCATCCAAGATATTTGCAAATAATGTATGTGTCACGTTTCCCAGCTGTTATCTTTAAATGCAATTTGCACTAATCGGAGTTCTAGTTCAAAAGCATCTGGACGATCCTGAGGGTTTGCAGCTAGCATTTCCTTAATCAGTTGTTTCATTCGCCCATTCATAGACTTCTTCTTCACAGGAATGAGAAGTTCCATTTTGGGATTTTCCAGAAGCGCCTCCCCAACAGGCACAATCTCAGTTCCTTGTTTTACGTAACTCCCCAAGAGTTCCTTCTTTGTCTCTGTGTCTATGAATGTGATCCTTTCCAGCATCGCCCAGATGATAATCCCCAGAGCAAAGATGTCAGCTTTGGCTGTGTAATGTCCCTCCCACACTTCAGGAGCCATGTAGAAATCTGTTCCACATGCTGTGGAAAGGAAACACTTGTTTACACTGACAGGTTCTTCTGGGTTCTGCCCAGAGGCTGAACAAACTTTACTTAGACCAAAATCAGCCACTTTCAGTGTAGGTTCCAAGTCACTGGTATCCAACCTGCTTTGAGAAATCAGAATGTTATCAGGCTTAAGATCTCTGTGGATGATCTGGTTTTTATGCAAGAAAGCCAGGGCGCTGCTCAGCTGAAGCATGAAGCTGGTGTTAGTTTTACGATTGGGTTTCCTGGACAACAGATATTCATTCATATCTCCTCCGTCACAAAAATCCATCACAAACCACAAATAATAGGCGCTTCTGGGATCAAAGGCAATTTCTCCTTTCAATGAAGTCTCTACAAGCTATAAGAAGGAAAAAAATAGATTACAATCATCTGCACAGTTTATACAATTCAGCTATAGAAGAAGAGTAACTGGTTAAGTTAGTCTCCAATTTTAAGTGGGAATTCCATGAATATTTTTTTGGTCAGTGCTTTCATATGTGCATTTTAAATATCAGCACTTCAAACTGTCACTCTGGCTCTAATGAATACACACCAAATCTTCAAGTCCAGAGTAAATACTTATTTAAAAATAGCTTTATTTTGAAAAGTGTCCAACTGGCTATACATTTTCTGCATGTGTCAATGGAGCTGAACTCTACCTACCTGGCTAATAGCTTCATGAAAAGATCAAAGTTTCAGTGGCTAGACCTGGGAGACTGTCAGCTGGGGTATAAACATCAATTAGGAAATTCTATTCAATGAAACTGCCTGAAACATACTTCTTGTTCATTTCACATACACTATTAACATAATCTGTGAAATTGAGAGAAAAATGATAAAGGAACAACTAGTTGTTACAGAAATAAGGTGCTCCTGTAGTTACTGATAAAAATAAAGACTGACATCATTACTTCATAAACGTCTACAGCAGATTGCAAATATGCTGGCTATCTCCATCACTGGATGGCTTCTAAAAATCAATTTATAAAAATCATATTTGCATTTTGACATAAAAATTCAAGTCTGAGCTTGTATACCTGATACAAGTTGAAAACCTAGAATAAATCACTGTTTTATTTGTTATCATTATCTAATTATTAATCTATTATCTGAAATTCAAGCATATTAATTACTTAACTGAACATGAACTACCATTCTAAAATACAGGCACATAGTGCCTTGGAAACACTTGTCCTATGGTGTCCTTTCAGACCCATAGATTGAATAGAAACTTCGTAGGGAAGCCAGAGTTGTTGAAGAGTGAGTTAACTGCTAATTTTACATTTAAATCTACCGGTACTTCCTCATCATATTGGCAGGCAGAAGCAAAGAACACCTCTCCCTGCCATCTCCTCCCATGGCAAACAGCAGTAATTGCAACGGTCTGCAGGTGTCTTTTTTTGCATGCATTTTCCTTGTAGCATGTGTTTGCCAGTAAGACAGAAAATGATAGAAAGGTACAGATCACACAATTATTTACTTGGTGCACTGTTACTAAATATGCTGAGATTAAAGACCAGCACCATTATTCCTTCTTCATTTCCTCTCTTCTTCTTTACTCTCAAAAGCAAACTTCCTAAATAGCTTTGAGCAATGAAGAGTCCTAGCATTCAAAGAATGGTTTACAGTAAGGCTCGACAAGCCACATAAAATCTCTGTTCCATATTCTTCTTCCCTTTCTTTTTTCTTTTTTTAGCAACTTTTAAAAAGATGTAAAAACTATTTTTAGCATCTAGGCCATACAAAAACAAGCCGAGGGCTCTAGTTTGAGGGCCCCTGGTTGAGAGCTACAGACATACAGAGCCCAATCTCTTTATTTTCAAGTGTAGAGGATGTCAGCCATTGGCTCTCTTGCTTAAAGTCCTTCAACAGCTTCCCTGTTCTCTTAGGATATAGTCTAAGCTCTTTAACATGGGCTATGAGATCCTGTGATCCTGTGTGCTCTGACCTCTGCTGATCTTTCTAGCCTCATCTAAAACAACTCTCCCTGTACACTACAGTCTTACTATCTTCTTCCAATTCTTAGAATGCTTCATGCTTTTTGCTTCAAGACATTTGTATGTACAGTTCTTCCTGCTTGGTAAGTTTTGTCACTCACTCACCTGGCTAACTCCTCTTCACCCTACAAGTTTCAGTTGAAACAGTTCACAATTCCTAAACCCAAGGATTGTGTCAGGTTCCCTATTATATGCTCCTATACCTGTACTCCTCATTCATGACACTTATCAAAGTATACAGACTGGCCACTAAGTTCCTGTGCATGAGATTGTGTCCTCTGTTGTTTTACATTTTCTTCTAGGTGAGGTTTTTAGCTCTCAGGAACTGATATAATGATTCCAACTAAGAACAAGGAAGATATCTGGAAAAACATAGAGAAAAATAAAAATGTGTATAGAGAATGGAGAAGACCATGCATAGGAACCCTGTGGTCACCCTACAGATTTGCTTAATTGTCTTTACTAGATGTAAATACTGGTTGTCTTTACTACATATAAATTTAGAAAAGGCACTTGCTAAATGTATGGATGAATGTCAGGTTAACTAAATAAATCCATAGAAAAGACAATTTTAATAGAGCTACACATTACTGAGTACTTCCTATGTGCCAACTATTCTATCTGCATCACCTCCAATATTAACAACTACTATGGAAGGTAGAAATTATTATTCCTATTTTACTTATGAAGATACAGATGCTGGGGAAAAATTGGGTTCTTTATCCAAGGTCATACAGCTAGCAAAAAGTGCCACAAGTCAAACACAGGTCTATTAGGCTTTAAAAAATGAAAGAGATTACTGAACAAAAAGGTGCTTTAGATGAAAAAAAAAAAAATCACTGAATAAAGTCTGGAAGTACTTTATATCTTAAAGCCATGAAAGACCAGCTAATGCCTAGTTACTATAAAGGTTGCTTGATCTGGACTCAAGAATACCATCAGCACTAAGTTATATGTTTAAATGTCTTTGTATTTATAGTCCAAAAGAGATTATAAATTTTAGTTTCCAAAAGTCAATGCAAAATTCAGCAAGGTTCTATTCACTTTAAGAGGGAATGTGGTGAGAATGTTTCCAACATTTTCTACCAGTGCAACTTACACAATAAGCACTTTTACAAAAGTAAACAATAAAATGAATAGAGGCTAAAGAGTTGTGTCTTATACTCACTGTCTTAAGAGAGAAAACTTCAGGGCATAGTGTGCTAAAATGCATAAATTAGGTTCTCAAGATTGATATTTGTTCACCGTACGATGAAACTTGCAAGTTTCTAATTACATAGATTAATGTGTTTCTTTGTTGTTCCTAGTCCAAAAGCTTTTATTGTTTTAAATACAGACTTCTGTGCCCTGATAGTAAATTCTGAATTTCAACACACTCATGGAAAGTTGTTTCCTTTTCCAAGAATGATGGGACTTAAGAAATTTTGCTCTGGTCTTTAACTAGCTGTGTCTTAAGTATCTTTTCTCTTCAGCGAGTATAAAGCTACTAGAGATTTTGATCTAAGGCAGAAGCCAACATTAAAAAAAAAGGCTTTTCTGTTTTCCTATGTTAATGTTTTCCCTAGGTCTACAAAAGAGTAATCTGGAGGTTAAGAGAGCACAAGTTTTAGCTGTCAGATAGTCCTAGGTTCAGCTCCCAATTCTGCCACTTGCTAGCTATGTGACTTTGGATAAATTCATTATTCTAAGCCTCAGTTTCTTCATTTGTAATGATGATAATAATAGTACTTTCCCCATAAGATTGTTTTGAGCAACTGCCTTTAAGGCACTTAGCACAGAGCATGGTACTGAGTAGGAACCCAAATGTTAGCTATCAGCTATTAGCTAATACTCAGGTGCTAAGGTACATCATGAAAATTAACCGGAATTGCATGGTTAAGAAACCACATAACCCTCTAAAACAGCAGAGGCTTATGTTCAAACCAGTGATTTATAAATAAATGCTTGATTACATATGGGTGCTGCTATTGGCTGTACAGTTTTTCTTTTTCTTCTGTCTTCAGTTCCAAAAAAAACTGATTTCAAATAAGTAAACTTATTAGACTGTAGTCTCAATTACTTCTCTAGCCTCTATGTTGCCCTATTCCTATGCAGATTGGCAAGTATCATGGCATAACAGGTGGCTTATGTTATTTTTAGGTATTTGCATCACAGGTTTAAATAAAACCTTGTTTTAAAGCAAACATCTACTCAATTCTTGGCAGACCTCTATCTACTCCTAACTATATAAACACCTGCACTTAAAGGTAGAAGTTCATCTGACTCTTTCATCCCCCTTCTTGATGACCAATGCTACGTTCAAATCATTTCTATTTCCCATTCAACCACACATACCTGTAAATAAAGGGAAGAATTAGAGCCGTGGGACATCTTTTGCACCATCCCATCTTTTTGTAGGATGCATTCCTCCAAGTGAATCACATTTGGATGTTGGCTCTTGATACTGCTTAGTGCCCAGAACTCTCGTAGGGCTAGTTCAACATTTTCGGGTGCATGGCATCGAATTTTCTTCACTGCCACCCGTGCAGAGGTCTTTCTGATGACTGCTTCATATACAACACCGTAACTACCTCGGCCTACCTCCCGTATTAGATCGTACTTTGGCTGGCTACTCACCATCTTCAAGGTCAAGGTTTCTGGAAAAATCAACAAAGTGCTCTGTTGAAATTAAGTATACCCTACTGGCCTGTATTTCTTCTTAAGTATAATTTAGTTACCATCTGTCTTACTGTTAGCAGTGCTTGAAAGATATTTGCTATACCTTGGGCAAATCTAAGTATTTTAGTAATGATGATAATAATAATAAAGAGGCTAACACTTATGTAGTACATACTTACCATGTATCAGGAACTGTTCCAAGCACTTCATAATATTAAATTCATTTTTTCCTTACAAAAATGTTAGATACTATTATGGTCATTTTCTAGATGAGGAAACTAAAGCAGGGAGAGGTTAAGCAACACGCTCAAGGTCAAAACAGCTAGTAACTGGTGGACCTGGGATTTGAAACCAGGACATCTGGCTCTGACATCCATAATTTTAACCATTATACTATATTGCCTCTTAAATGAACTGCTTCCAAACATCACTGTTAAAAATAAACCAAAAAAATTCAGTATTCTTATTTACTGATCAGGAAAAAACGAACAAAACTCTAGCTTCTCCTTAAAGCTGACACACATAAAAGGTCATAAAAACAGCAAAAACAGGGGCCAGCCTGGTGGTTAAGTTCTGGCACTCTGCTTCGGCAGCCTGGGGTTCATGGGTTCAGATCCCTGCCCATGGACCTACACAGTGTTCATCAAGCCATGCTGTGGCAGCGTCCCACATACAAAACAGAGGAAGAATGGCACAGATGTTAGCTCAGGGCCACTCTTCCTCACCAAAACACACCCCTCCCTGAAACCAAAAACACCCTCACAGTTGGAAGTGCAAACACCTGGCTTCTCCTTAGGGACTGAAAGTGAACCAGATCCCGTATAGACTGAAAAAGTGTAGTTTTTATTCTTTAAAAGTAAACGGCTAAACTGTATATGTTCCTATTTTATGTTATTTCCTTATTTCTTGCAAAATAAATGAAAATAAAGTTTGCAGAGAAAAATGTTCCTTTAAAAATAAAGTAAGCTACTTAGAATATGGTTACCTGTTGTTTAACAATAGTTGTGTAGATCTAGGTCATTTTTGCCAACAAAAACTGCCCTACACATCAAGGGGCTCTCTGACAGATCTTTGAAATTCAACTTAATCATTTAAAGGCAGGAGCAAAGGCCCTACACAGAAATGCTCAGGCGTGGAATCAAGAAAGTCTAAAGCCTGACTCCTCACTCTCCAAAGAATGTAAAGATTCTAATGAGCTCCAGGAACAAATTCTCATTTGCAGATTGCCACCAAGGGCAAGAAAAGTAACCCGAGACTGTACAATCTTTACACTGCACAGTTTGGAGGAACATAAAGCTACTGACCCTTGAGCCCGAAAAACTGGGAACAGCTACTTTAAGTCCCTAGGATAAACTTAATAAAGAAAACGAAAGCTTCTGAGACTGCTCCTTAGTCCCACTTCCTCTAACTGGACACCCAGCCTTCCAATTCCTGCTGTATTTCCTCGAGTCGGGTTTCCTGGCCCAGAATCCTCTGCCCCAAGTACAGATTAAACATTCCAGCTCCGTGGATCGCCAACTCCTGGCCATCTCAAGGTGGCCGATGTCTTGGAAGCTGCCCCACATCCCCATACGAAAGAGCACCTGAATAACGGGGAGGGAGGGTGTTTATGAAATCCTTGAGATCCTGGGTCAAACACAGCACGATAATGCACCCCGCGCGCGCCTAAGCGCCTTAGGACGGCGCTTCCCGGGCCCTCGTGCCTGCCGTGCAAACCCCGCGCGCGGACGCGGGCGGCCGGGCCCTACACCTGCTGGGCTAGGGAAGGGAAGGGCCAGTCCTGGGCAGAGGTGTTGCCCGACGCGGCGGCTCAGACCCCGCTCATTGGCCGAGCATCAGGCCCTCCCCCTCCTCGGCTGCGTCCAGACGAAACCCGGAGGGGATCCTCCCGAGGCCCTTCGCCCGGAGGAGCCAGCGCTGCAGCTGCGCCGACTGCTCGGGGCTGGCGGCTGAGGCCCGGGGCCTGGGGAGGAGGCCACGGGCATGAGGAGGCCGCAGCTGGGGCCGCTGGCCCGGGGAGCGGGCCGGAGGCCTGAGCAGCGCGGGCCCTCCCCGCGATGACTCCGCTGACAGGGCTGTGACAGGCCTCCTGGGGACGGAGGCACGGACAGGGCCCTCGGCTCTGCAGCAGGGCCGCTCTGCCAGGCCGACGGGCCGGATTTACCTCAGGGTAGCCGCCGCCGCTTCTCCCTCTCACGGGCTCTGCAGGCCGCCATTATCGGGCAGCTCGCGCCTCCGCCGCCGCAGCCTCCAGTCAGAGGCCGGCGCGCGCCCCCGTGGTGCGCGCGGACACACCCCCTTACGCCCCGCGGCCACGCCCCCCTCCGGCTTTCCGTAGCGCGGCCGGGACGCCCAGCGCCGTCCCTATTGGGCGCGCGCCCGGCGCTTCGCCAGTCTCCTCCCGGCTCCTGAAAGCTCCGGGAGCCGGGAGTTGCGGAAGGTGTGCGCGCCCCGGAACGCACCACTCGTGCCCCTCCCCGCAGGGGTGGCCGGGCATGGGCGCGGGGAGGCCAGTCCACGCCTGAGGCTCGCTCGCCCTCCTGCCGCAGCGGGCGCGCACGGCCCGCGGCCCCGGGGCTGGTCTGCGGCGGCAGGTGCGAGCCTGAGTGTGCGTGCGCCCGGCGCGGCCTCCCCTCTGCCTCCCCGACCCCCTCCCGACCTACCGAGCGGCGGGCAGGTGTGCGGGGGTCGCTGGGGTGGAACGCCCGGTGCATCTTCCTCGGCGCGGGACTGCGGTGCCTGCGGTATGCGGGGCTCTTCCGCGGGCCCGCGGGGAGGCGCGGCCCGACCGGGAGGCCTGGCGTCGGCGCCGCCGGGAGGGAGGCTGCACCTTTTGTCAGAGCCACTGAGCCATGTTTGCGGACGGTGCAGTTGCCGGTGTGGCGGTGGCGGCGCGGGGCTGGGTGCTATCATCTGGGAAGACGCCGTCCCCTGCCCCGCCGGCGCGGTGGTATCTCCCTTAAAGAAGCCGGCTTCTCATTGTTCCCGGGCCGCGGCCGCCGGGAGTCGGGGGCGCCCTGCCTGGCGCAGGGACGAAGGGGGGGCGGCGCCCGCACCTGGCCGCCCCTGCCCGCGCACGCCCTGCCCGGCGGCGGCACCTGCGGGCTTGTCGTGGAGTCGGATCCCGCTGGCGCGCGGCGAGAGGCAGCGGTCCGAGCCGGACGGGACGGGATCGACAGCGAAGACAGCGGTTCTCTCAGGGCCCGACGGTCAGCCCCAGTCACTGGGCCACGACCCGACAGCTGTCAGATTCCAGCACGCAGTCGCCTGACAGCCAGCCGGGGGCTGTCAGTTACTCAGAGACCCGGACCAATTGGTCATTCACTTAGCTACACAGATCAGTGAGCATCCGCCAGAAACATCCATTTCTTCACCGATTTATTCTGCACCTACCATTTGTCAATAAAGTGGGTGTTCCTCCTCCCAGTGCTGTTTAAGGCACGATGTGCAAAGAATCCCTGCCCTGCTTTCAAGGATCAACCAAGTACCCGTTTTATTTTCTGTCCTCCATATGTGGACCTTCTCCCGAGAGTCTAGAACTGGGGTAGGTCTTTAAATTCTTTCTCCTAATCGTAAGCAAACCCCACAAGGGCAGGCTTTATTACTAACCCTGTTTTTACAAGTGAGGAAACAGACCTCTGCCTTATTTGACCGAAAGGGGTCTGTTTTTTGCGGGTGGAGGCTGCCTTGAATACCCACTCCCCTGGTGTAAACCCCACCACCACCACCAAAAACAAACAAACACACTAAAACCCTGCTCTGTAATCTGTTCCGACTTTTGTCCTGAGTGCCATGTACCAGTCTTCAGCGGTCTGCTGAACCTTGTCTGTGATTCATCTCTGCAGCCTCCTCTAACTGATATGCTACCAAAATACACCTGAGGATAGCATTGTCCTACATTGCTGGTGGGAAGGCAAAATGATGTCACTCTAATTAAGGATATTTAGCAATATATAGCCACATTACATATGTATTTACTCTTTCACCCAGTAATCCTAGGTCAAATCCTGAACTTCTAGGAATCTATGCTAGTGATATATTAGCAAAAATATAAAAAGCTGTGTGCACAAGGCTATTCATTATGGCATTGTTTTTATAGCAAAAGATTGGAAACTGCTCACATGTCAATAAAGAACTGGCTGAATAAATTATAGTACATACACAGGATGGACTGCTATGCAGCTGTAAAAAGATAAGTGGAAGATTTCCTATATATACTAATAAACATATGCTAATATGGAGTAATGTCCATATATATTGTTAAGTGAAATAAGCAAGGTGCATAGTAGTGTTTATAGTATGCTACCTTCTGTGTAACAGGGAGATATAAATATACATTAATTGCTTATATTTAAAAGTTAAACAGTGAAAGAATAAACTCAAGTCTTCTAAAAATGGTTTCCTATGTGGGGCGGAAGGGAGAGAGGGGTGGAAATGAGACTTCTGTGAATGTACCTTATTATATAGTTACTATTTTGGAACGTTGTAAATGTTTTGCGTATTTATAAAGTAGAGTTCAATAAAAAGAATAAAACACTCCATAAAAACTAAAAACAAACGAACCATCTGTATGCAGTTGGTGGCATAACTACATAGAGAAAATCATTTCAAGCGGCTTTATAAGGATTTTTTTTTTCTTTGTGAGGAAGATCAGCCCTGAGCCAACATCCATGCCAATCCTCCTCTTTTTGCTGAGGAAGACTGGCCCTGAGCTAACACCCGTGCCGACCTTCCTCCACTTTATGTGGGATGCTGCCACAGCATGGCCTGACAAACGGTGCATTGGTGCGTGCCTGGGAGCTGAACCCTGGGCCACCAGCAGCAGAGTGTGCGCACTTAACCGCTATGCCACGGGGCCGGCCCCCCCATCCCCCCCAGCTTTATGAGTATTTTGACTACCTCCCTAATGAGCTGCAGTCTAAGGACAATGAGAACTGCATAGAAATATTAAGTTGCATTCGTTAGTCTTATTGTTAGTAGTAATATTGATATTGCTATTTTGAAATTATAGTAGGTATATTTTAGGATAAAGCAAATAAGTAATTATGTTAATGGAATTAGGAATCAAGATTTTCAACGTATGAGAAAAAGTTACAAACACTAAAGAAGCCTAGGATAATCTTAGATCTGTATGATCTAAGTGGATGAATTAGTGGAATGAATGAAGTATGTATTTTTCCCTTAAAAAGTGTATTTTCTAGCTCTGTCTGCTGAAAAGGCCTAGAAGCAATGACCAACCCAGTAGTAATGAACACCCCTAGTGCACAGATTTGGTCTCGAAGTACTATTTTCCAGTTAAAAAAAAAATTAAATGGTAAACAAAGAAAATCAAGGTTCCTTTCGTAAATTGCTGGTTCCAGAACTGGAGCAGGAAGGATAAGGTTGGGTCATCTTGTGCCTGGAAGCCAGGAAGCTATCAAAGACTATTGGGGTCATGTAAAAATGACTGAGGAACTGATACAAAGGGGCCCCACTGGCCAAAGATGAAACGATTTGAGCATTAAATGAAAAATAATGACTCCAATAGATTACAACACATAAAATATATAAAAATCAATTAATTAATAACAATACTTAAGGAAAACAACACATTTGTTACCAATGGAATTTTATGGAGGATCAACTAATTACTCTGAAAAATTACATTGAAAAATAAAGGGAAATAATCAAACATTTTTCTGGTCTTTCCCTGATGAGTTGTACTGCAGGTAACCAAACAGTAGATAAGAAAAAGTTATTTTTTATAGAAGAATTCCAACTAATAAATACAGAAGAAATGATAGGATTAGAAAAGCACAATTTTGCAAACCCTAATGAAATAATGAGTCTAGGCAATGATCATGAAATGATGCTGAAACAATTGGATGAAAAGTTGTTAGGGAGCCTTGTAATGGCGAGCTTAGGCTGACACTGCCTGAATCCACTGACCAATCTTAAAATCACTAAGAGGGGGACACCATGTTCTCCATGAGATATTCTTGTCTGAACAAAATAAAAAAAGAATCTAAGCCTAATCAAGGCAAGATCTAACTACCAGTTTACCAGAAATTTGGGGAATAGACAAACAGCACAATCAGCCAAACTCAAAATGTGGGACATTCTACAGGACAAGTGACCTGGTTTCTGCAACAAATTCATGGCATGAAAGTAAAAAAGGAAGGTAGAATGTTAAAGCATAAAACTCGAGACACTTACCAAATGCAAAAACCTTATTTGGATTCTGATTCAAGTGAGCCATCTCCACTTGCTGTCAAAAGATATCTGATTGTATCAAATTAGAACTGCACACTGATGTATTATTGGTAAAATGAAATGAGGTCCGGGATATGCTTTAAAATACTCCACAGGTAGCAAAGCAAGCAAAAAGAGGAAGACTAGTAAAATGCTGACAGTTGTTGAAACCTGCTGCTGGGAACATGGGGTTGGTTATACTATTCTACTTTTGTGAACATCTGAGTTTTTCGTAATAAAAAATTAGACAACTATCCTCAGATTCCCTTGGCTGGGTGGGAAGTTGGATGTAGCAATCCCGCCCCTTGGTGGCAGATTCTGTTAGTGCAGCTGCTGCCCCAGCCTAAAGCAGTTCTGAATTCCCAGAACTGTCTAGAGTCACGTCATTTATAAACCTCACAAGAACCCTAGGAAGTGGACAGTATTAGCATACCATTTTACAGCTGAGGAAACAGACTCAGAGAGACTCAGTAACTTAAGTTCCTAATAAGTCACTGGTGGAGCCAAGACTCCAGGTCCCAAGCCCCATAAATTGCTGTGTTTCTGGACTTACTTTTCCTATCTGAACAAAGAGGTCACAGGGGAAGAAGCAAGTGGAGATGCCTCTCATTAGAATGGGTCCACAGGAAGCAGATCATTAGGGAGCAATTTCATCTATAAACTATAGATAAATATAAATAGGTAATATAAATGTAAATAAATAATAGGTAATATTCATACTGCCTCCTGTGCCAGGCACTGTGCGAAGTGGTGTTTATACATTACCTTCTTCCCGCTGCAGTTATCCTGTGAGGTACACACTATTATTACTCTCCTTTTACAACTGAGGAAACGGAGGTTCTAAGAGGTGAGAGGACTTGTCCAAAGTGACACAGCTAGGAAATGTCTGAATTTTGAGACTTGAACCCAGGTCTGACTACAATGCCCATGTGTTTTTAAATTAATTTCTTTGAAATATAGTTTACATACAGGGAAATGCTCGCATCTTAAGTGTATAATGCTGGTGTTTTTGACTTCTTGTAGCTATTAAATACTACTTCCTTCACTTGAGCATGAATGCAAATATTAATTAATTAATTAATTTTTTTTTCTTTGTGAGGAGATCAGCCCTGAGCTAACATCTGCCAATCCTCCTCTTTTTTTTTGCTGAGGAAGACTGGCCCTGGGCTAACATCCATGCCCATCTTCCTCCACTTTATATGGGAGGCTGCCACGGCATGGCTTGACAAGCAGTGTGTTGGTGCGTGCCCGGGATCCGAACCGGCGAACCCTGGGCCACCGCAGCGGAGCACATGCACTTAACCGCTTGCGCCACTGGGCCGGCCCCCAAATATTAATTTCTTCCTGGATAGTTCATTCACTTTTTCTAAGTTTATTCACTTTTTCTATGTAGGAATGGGAGCCATGGAAATTCAAAGTTCACAGTTCTGCCCAGAGCTGACCAGCCCTCTGATGATTTTCTTTTCTTGTAGAGGTGGCCCCTTATATTTTGTCTCCTCTGTTCTTTTAGAGGAATCTGTATCATACCATGCCCTCTCAGCTACTTAAACATACTGTTAAGTCAGTGGTTCTCAAATGGGGCGATTTTGCTTCTCAGGGGACATTTGGTGGTATCTGGAGACATTTTTGGCTGTCAGAACCGGGAGGGTAGGTGCTACAGGGATCCAGTAGGTAGAGACCAAGGATGCTGTTCAAGGCGCAGGACAGTTCCCGACAACAAAGAAATATCCTGCTCAAAATGTTAGTAGTGGACATTGAGAACCCCGATCTCAGTAACCATAGTAGACTTGCTAAGCAAATGCAGCTTCAAGGCAAGTCTCTTCGTCCCTTTTCCCACCAGATTGCTGGTGCTAAATTCCTTCCCTGTAGAAATTCTGGAGGCATCATTGATGCCTTGTTAGAGACTTCTGACAAAAGTCTGAAGTCATCTCACCCTGGGCCAGACACAAGGTGTTATCAAAATTCTACCGAATTATTGTGGACAACTCACCAGGCCGACCAGTGACTGTTTGGGGGAGCAGCTCCTACCTTGCCATAGCAGAGAGAATCCCCATGAGGGTACCCTTCCTTTCTTTCCCAAGCTAGGGGAGCCCAAGACCCATCTTTGCAGGGGGAGGCTGATAGAGAAACTCCTCTAAGGAGAGTGCCAGCTTTGGCACTACCAGGCTATGTGACCTTGAGCAAGTCCCCTCTCTGTTCTGGGCCTCAGTTTCCCTATTTGCATAATGAGGGGTCTGACCAGCTCATCTCTAAGGATCCTTCCAGCTCTGACACTCTGATTCCTCAATCCTACACCTCCACTATGCTTGTACCAGGAAGATTAAAATGTTTATTTCTGATCCAGCCCCCAGACAAGTGATTCAGGGGTCCAAGAAGGTCATGTGCCAGCTGCAACTTCAGCTGTTTTGTCTTTGGATGGGTCCTAGTTGTCTCCTCCGTGAGGACTGAGAACAGCTGGAGCAGTTGGTAGTGAAAATCAAGCTCCACGTTCCCTGCCCTTGGTGTCAAGAGCTGCTGCTGGGGAGTGTCCCTGTCTGAGAGCCACTGAGCCACATCCACTGAGTGGATGAGAAGTTGAGGGCTGCAAGACAAGGTCCCAAGAGCATTCCAAACTGAGGATTCACTCAGCGCCTTGGCAGGTGCTGAGATGATGAAGTGTGGGCTGCCTCTGATCCTTCTGGATGCTTCACGTTATAAGGGCAGAAACCCAACTCAAACTGACTTGAAGGGAATGATTGGCATGCTTACCTGAGAAGAACGGAGATGGGAGGGCTTCAGGAAAGGTTGGATTCAGCTGCTGACATATCAGGAAAGACCCAGCTTCCTTTGCTCTGCCTTCAATCATGCTGACTTCTTCTTAAGCCTGGCTCCTCTCATGGGCCCAGGTGGGCAGTGGTGCTCCTGGGGATTCAGCTTCAGAAGTTCACATCCCACAGGAATGAGAAAGTCAGCTTCTCCGTTCCTTAAACAATAGTCCTGGAATTGAGTCTTTTCAGACCTGATTGGCTCTTCTAGGGTTGTGGGCCCTTTCTTGACCAAGCTGCATGTCCTGGAGGATGAGGCTTACTCACTGGCTTAAATCCAGAGGCTGAGGAGCAGCTAGCAAACGTCACTACACAAACCTCTCCTGAGGAGTCAACTAGTGCCTGACACACAGTGGGCACTTTATTCATTAAGTCAACAGCTATTTGTGAGGACCTACTTTGTGCAAGATGCAAGATGCAATTATGCTAGATGCTGGTGAAAAAGCAGTGAACAAGAAGACAAGGGCTCTGCCCTCATGGCCCTCATAGTCTAT